TTTTAATTTATTTTAGAGAGGTGGGGGGTGGGGGGGAGATGGAGGTGGTGGGGAAGGGGCAGAGGGAGGAGGAGAGAGAGTCTTGGGCAGACTCTGTGCTGCGCACGGAACCCAACATGGAGCTCCATCCCATAACAACTGTGCCGCCCAGGCGCCCAAGACAGGCATTTTTAAACTAAGCACAAGGAGACGGTGGCCTGTGCGGGTCTAAATGAACTGCAAGAAGACCCACATTTCCAGATTTCTGGCCCTTACCTGGACTGTCTACTTTTTGTTGTTTGTCATGACTGGGCTCAGGGTGAAAATGCGTTCCTTTTTTGTATAGTGAAGACAGAGGCAGCTTCCGGGGCTTGTCCCCTCCAGGGTCTGCTGAACTGTCTGAAGGAGATCCCGGAGGCCCGGCATAGGCGTCCTAGCCCCTCAGGAGTAGGGGACCCACCGCTACAGGAGGACCCAGGGGCCTGCCAAAGGAATTCTGGAGGTAAAAGCCACTGACTGGGCAGGGAGGGCCCCAGGACAACATCCATTTCCTTTTCCAGCTCCAAGCAGGCTCCACATCAGGCCCTTAGGCCCTCGCCTCTGCGCGTAGGTCGGAGTTGCCACATGTTAGGGACCATCCCTGTAAATGGAGTTAGGCCTGTAGGAGGTGCTTCATCAGTCCATGATCACTATCCAGGTTGGCTGTTAGAGTAGGGCTGAAAGTTCCAGAAGGGAGGAATGGAGCGTAGGGCCGGGGAGGCCCGAGAACAGAAGATGGCCCGTGGACACCCGGGGCATAATTTTGAATTGGGTGCTTGCGTCATGTTCATGTGGGCTTGGCTGGTGTTTCCACACACTGTAGCTCACCAATACTCGGTAGCTTCTCAGACTGCTGAGGAGGTTGAATTGACACAGACTTGCTGGCCTTGGAGGAAAGACCCTGATTTGGTGCCCCCCGAGGAGCCTGATGTGGCGTCCCTCAGTAGAAACCTCTGGAGGCGCCCCAGAGGACCCGGGGCGAGATGGGAGTGTGAGCTGCTCCATGTACCGGTGTTTGAGCAGTGACCGCCTCGGAGCCAGAGACTGCTGTGGAGGCCGGGGGCCTTGGGAGCCCTGTCCTGACCCTATAATGGCCTCATGGGAGCTTCCCACAGGGCCCAGACCCCTGCAGACCCCTCCTCCCGGGCCTGGTCCAGGAGCTGGCAGCGTGCTCTCTGTGGTGAAGATGGAGGACGGCTGGGCCCAGAGCCTCCCCGTGCCTGCGTCCTGTCAGCTCAGCAAGTGGACCCACAGCCCCTCTGCTGCCAGCAGCCAGCAGGGCGACGGAGAGACCAGAGGGGCCCGAGTGCCCAGCTGGGGTCCCAGAGCTCAAGGTGAGGCCTGGGGGCATCTCTCAAGTCCTCCAATGGGATTCTCAGCCTCACCAACAAGGTTCTGCCAGCGCACAGGGGAGGGAGCAGGTCCAGCCCACAGGGGGAGGCCCTGGCTGTCCTTCTCAGGCAGTGACTCCCCTCTCTTCACCTACATCCTCCTTAATCCAAGGGCCCGGGAGCTTTCCATCATAAGGACTTTAGTTTACAGAGATTTCCTGCCTGTCAGGAAGCTGGTCCCTACATACATGTGGGTCTCTCCACCCCACCCCTGGGCTGGGGTGCAGATTTGTCATTGCCCTGTAGGAACAGAGAGTGAATCAAAGTCCCCCACAGGGTGTCCTGCCTGGCAGGCCTCCACGCCTGGTGCAGGACTTGCCGCCCCTGCAGAAGGCAGGTTGGGGCAGCCAGCCTAAGGCCGGGCCAGGGGAACGTGCCTGAGATGGTGATAGGGCCATCTCCCCTGTCCCAGCCGGCAGTGCCTCGAGCTCACCCCTGGAAGCCCTGGAGGCCTGTCTGAAGGGCATTCCCCTGAGTGGGTCGTTACCTCCCCAGCCGCCGGCCACCTCTGGATTCCAGAGCCCTCAGCCAGGAGACCCCGGGTCTCAGAGGCCCGAGCTGCAGCCCTGCAGATCACACACTGAAGGTAGATGGGGCCCTGGGCTCAGGGGTGCTGAGCCCATTGTTAGGTGCCCCGCTCCTCATCCTGGGCCTCTGGAGGTGCAGGCCCTTCTGTAGCCCCTTTATTGACGCCTCCCCCTGAAGAGTTCCCGAATGTGGTGGAAGCCCGACTCTTCCTGCCCACTGCCCCCTCTGAGGGCTCTTACTTTCTAGCCCCATGAGACCAACAGTTGGGTTCACGTGGGTTTTTTAACCAGTGCTTGAGCCCCTAACTTAAGGGGAGACCCTTGTGGGAGATCCTTTAGGGTAGGTGTCCTGGTTGCCCACCCCCAGCCCAGGGCCCAGGGGACCTCTTGTCCAGTGGCTTTCTCCTGATGTCAGCTGTGCTGTTTCCTACAGAGGTGACTGTTGGGCCTCTTCTGGCTCTGAGTCTGCAGGGCTATGTGAGAGGCAGCCCTGCCCTCCCCTCAGGTCCCCACAGCACCCCTCCCAGCTTCTCCTCATCCAGCAGCACCGATGGGGACCTGGATTTCCAGAGCCCTGGGGGCAGCCAGGGGCGTCTGCCTGGAAAAGGTGAGCTGGCAGGCCTGAGCCTGGGGGTCAGTCCTGGAGAAGGACGAGAGGCCCCCTGCCCACCGTCATGTCTGACCCAACCGGGGCAGGCTGCCATCCCTGGTGTCTGGAACAGAGCTGGGGATGTTGAGGCAGGAGCAGACACGGGACTTACTGCAGGGTGGCGGTGGGGTGGGGTGGGGGGCCGGGGGGGGTACTTAGCTCCGAAGGGGCAGGACAACAGCTAAGACCCCTGACAAAATAGAAAAAGGTCTCCTTTAGTGTCAATTTTTTCCTTATCCCAGCCACAAAGAAATGCCTATAATATCAAACTGACCTCTGACTTAAGACAAAATGTCCCGAGGTTCATATAAAAGCACCTTAAGGAGGGTCTGTGGTGACCTATGTCTCTCCAAGCACCCGCCTTCCCCCCCCGCCCCCGCCCGGTGAAGAGGTGGCCATGGTTAGCTGTCACACCTCTTTGGAATTTTGCAGGACTCTGTAGTGTCCCCTCTTGACCTGTGTCCCCACTTGAATCATCCAGGCGCTCTCGGTCTGCCTTGTCCACACACACCGGGTCCCCTGCCGGCTCGCCTTTGTACCCTGTTGTCTGCGGAAGGCCTAGAGCTGGCCCAGCGCTCTGCCCCGGGCTGGCTGGAGCCGGTGGAGCTCTGGGGCCTCCCAGTGCCCATGGCAGCCTGGATTCTTGCCAGGCTGTGGGGGCTCTTTCCTCCCCCAGTGCAGCCAACTTTTCTTTTTAAGTTTTAGTTTTTAATAGGCAATCACAGGGTTTTGTTCAAAAGCTATAAAAGATTGCGGAGGAGAGGTGATGTCTCCCTCCGCCCCCCCACCCCCCGCCCTCCCTGAGTCTCCATGTGCATTCTCTCACCTTCCAAGGGCGTTCTCTGCGCGGCCCAGCCGCTGGTTCCCTCACACAGGCGGTAGCATTCTGTACGCAGCTTGCCACCTTGCCTTTTGTTTTACCATCTCCCTTTGGCATCTTCCTGAATTTTGTCTGCGTTTTTCTTGGACCCTAGCAGCACCCCATCCCTCCTAACCACTGCTCGGTACCCATCCATAGGGGTTAGCACATTGCTTGTTTGTGCGGCCTCTGTGGGTGCACTTAGCTTTCTAAGGAACCCAAACCACAGGAGAGTTCGTGCTGCCTTTTAGAAGCTTCCAGCCCAGCTCCCCAGCTCCCTCTGTTGCTGTAGAACTCGGGGAAACTGCATTTGCGACTCTTGTAGTTGAACTTTGCTGTTCCAGCCCCACGCGGCAGCCCAAAGCTCTGATACTCTCTCTCCGTGCCCTGCCTGGCCTGGCGTCAGCAAATGCCTTCCAGAAAGAGCGTGGCCGCAATGTCACCTCACGCAGGAAGGGCCTTTCCTTTTTGGACTTTCGGCTCATCTACTTTCTGCTGCTTCCACGGCTCTGTCACTAGAAATGCAGTATTTGCGATTTATTTGTCTTTTTCCCCCAAGTTGCGACTGCACTAGTGTTGGCCTTCTCAACCTGCTACATCATATCTGGAGGTGAAGGCACCTCTAGCGTTTCCCTCCGACTAGTGGAGGGGGCCTCAGGGCTGTCTGCGGGCGAGGCAGCATGGTGGCCTCCCTCCCAGGGGTGGAGCAGGGTGTCATGCCTGTGGCTGATCGCCCTTGTCACAGCCCACTGACCAGTTCTGTGTCGATGGCTCAGGTTGGCTTCTTCCAGGGCCAGCCCAAGTGGGCCTGCCTGGAGCCAGGACTGACACGTGTTGGGGACCAGGTGCCTGGCATGACGGGTCCTCTGAGCCTCCTCCGTGGCCCCAGCTGCCCTGGCCACAGGGGTGGAGGCGAGGCTCCCAGGCTTTGCAGAGACTGAGCCCTGACCATCCAAGATCGCAAATGTTGGGTTTTCACAGGAAGCCCAGTGGGAAGCTCCCCGCTCCAGGGCCTGGAGAACTGTCTCAGAGAGATACCTATGCTCAGGCCGCAGTCAGCCTCGTCCTGGTCCTCAGCAGGGGACAGGGGGTCCCAGAGAGCGGAGCCCAAGAATTGGACGGCAGACAGGGAAGGTAAAGCATGGCTGCCCTGGCGTCGGAGAGCAGGGAAGGGCGACTCTCACAAGGCCAGCCCCGGCCCTGTCCGCCCCCCCCCCCAACGCCGTTGGCAGGCCCACCTCCAGCCCTGAGAGGAGAAGACGCGGTGGAAATGGCCTGGGCAGAAGCTTGTGTGAGGCTGGGAAGCCAAACAGTGCCACCGGCCTCTGAGTGGTGGGTGGAGTCAGGGCAGGACACCCAGGGCTGCTTGGGCCGGGGCTGGGCTGGAGCCGGGGCTGGAGCGGGGGCTGCAGCGGGGGCTGCGGGGCTGGGACGGGCCAAGCAGGTGGGTTGCAAGCCCTGCCGTCTGTTGCTCGAGTCCAGGCCTGAGCCAGGGTCTTAGCAGCGGAGTACCTTTCGGTCCTGGCTGTGTTGGCTTCGAGGGCCTTGTTGTCCGGCACACTCGCTGAGCTGTGGGGCCCCCGGGGCTCCAGGTGGCCAGGTCTGGGGATAAAGAGGTCCTGGAAGGTTTGGGAGGCTCCCAGGGACACCTGTAGGCCTGGCGTGTGTCCCTCACCTGGAGCGCACGTGCCCAAGAAGCCAACAGTGGCAGAAGCTGTGCTCTGCCCAGTGGCTTCCCTGCCTCAGTGCCCCATGGGGCTGACAGGCCTCTCGGCTTCTCACTGAAACAGGGCTGAGAGGCGGGGCCTGCGAGCCAGCTCACCTGGGCCAGGGCCAGGGGGGAGCACCCACCAGCAGCTTCCGGCTGGCCAGCCCCCAGGCGCTCACCTCCAGCAGCGTCCCCATCTGCTACCAGCGAGGGCTCAGAGACCATGGGGCCGCCAGGCCAGGGCCGTGGAGGTGGCTCCAGGACGGTGAGCTGACATCTGTCCCAGTGTTCCGTGGCATGTCTTCCCTCCCAATAAAATCTGTGACGAGGGGCTAGATCCCCCCTTCCCTCTCCTCTGCTCCCTCCACCCCAGTGCAGCGCCCGGCTGGCAGCTGGGGCGAGTGTGCTGGCTGCCCCACGCCTCGGGCAGGCTGCGTGCTGGGGTTCGTGCTGGGGCGTGTGAGCATTCCCCAGACTCCTGGCTGCAGTGCTCCGAGGTGTGCTGGAAGAAGACCGTAAATGGGTCGCTGAAAGGAAAGGGGGGGACGGTTTTCAGCGGCCTTGGGGTTTCTCTGCGAGACAACTGGTTATTTCCTTTATTGCAGTAGTTGCCTGGGGTCACGGTGGGGGTGGGTAATGGGGATGGGGGGATCTCCCTCTGCTCTTGCCACTGCTCATTTGTACTTACAGCGGTGTTCCTTCCTAGCCCTGCCGGAGTGGGCTGGCAGGGTCCGGCTTATTTGGATAAATGTGGTATTTCTAAATATTCCCAAGCAGAAGAGAATTGGCTCTGGGAGGCTTCCTGTGGACAGGACTGAGTCTCTGCTCTTGGGCCCCTGGTCCCGAGTGAAGCAAGTAGGGGCCGCTGGGCTCTTAACACCCGGAGCCTGTCTGGAGCCAGACTGCTGGCGGCTGGTACCAGGGACTTGAGACTTCAGGAAAGTTCCCTGCTGGCTTTGCTCCTCCCCACCTTCCATGGCCAGAGTGGGAGCTGTAGGGTCTCCCAGAGCTTGTGTGGGGCCGTTGGCTGAACTGCAGGGGGACCAGCTCTGCGTGCGTGTGCACTAAGGTAGGGGGTCCTCCTGCCTGTCATAGGCTGATGGACAGGATGTTCTTCTGCTGTCATTTGCCCAGGCGCAGCCACGAAGCCCTCCCCACTCCACTGTCTGGAGAACTCTCTGAAGGGGATCTTGCCTGGGAGGCCCCTGCGCTTCGCCTGCTTGGCAGGTCCCAGCCCCAGCCCCAGCCCCAGCCCCAGCTCCAGCTTCAGCAGCTCAGAAGGAGACGAGCTCTGGCAGCTGCACCCTCAGGGTGAGCTTGCAGGGGACAGAGGAGGCCAGGGAGCCATTCCCTCCCTCCCCCGGGGTGCAGCCGCTGCCCTGACACCAGCTTTGTGTTGCCAGAGAGGGACCGTCTTCCTGGCTGCAAGGCTCCTGGCCCTCTGTCCCCACGCCCGGGCGGCGCCCCCATTGGCAGCAGCCCTGGCGAAGGCCCAGGGAGAGCAGAGCCCGGGGGCCACTGCAGGCTCGGTGCAGGTGAGCCCGGGGACTCCTGGGAGGGGGCCTGGATTCTCACTTTGCCTGACTCTTGCCGGAAGTTCTCTGCTTTTGTCATGCTTGAGTTCCCTGCAGGTTCAGCCGGGTCTGAGAGAGAAGGTAGGGCACAGGGCCCCAGCATTGTTCAACAAGTGTGTTGAAGTAGAAAGCCGGGCAATGAACCTAATACGTATACATGCTCTCTCTCTAGAACACGTACACGTCGTATGCGCTAATAATGTCTGTACACATATATAGTGTTGTGATGGTCCCCAGCCTATCAGAGGTGATGCTCTCAGCGAGGGATGCCCGGGGCGCTCTCCCAGCCCATGTTACTCGTAGGGAGCCCCGTGGACATTTACCCCCCCTTGGGGTAAATCCTGTGGTTCTTAGAATCATAGGATGCATGTCAGCAAAAGCCATCAGGGACCCTGGAGGAACAGGATCTATGACCCCAGACCCTGCGGGGCATGCCGTGGGGTCCCAGGTAGAGAGGTACAGCAAGAGTAACGCGCACGCCCGGGACTCTGCCTTTACTTGGCTCCAGAGTGCGGTGTCTGGGTTCGGCGGGTTCGCTCTTCACTGGGGAATTTAAAACATCCTAGCGGGAGTTAGGGCACAGGGAGGGGGGAGCGGGGTCGCTCAAGTGGCCAATTATCTAAATCTCCGTGACACTGGGCCTTCTGAACGAGGTCGGGCGGGGCAGCCTGGTTCCATGTCTGGAGGGTTTGCTCGTCGCTGGGTCGGGCAGCCGACGGTATGTTTACCCAAGATGGATGTCTCCTGAGAACTTCGAGGTCATCTTGTCAAGAAATGCCTGCCCCCCCCCCCCCCGCCCCCCGGCAGCCTCGCTCCTCAGTCCAGCCCTGACCCGGTGTTTCTCCCCGCAGGAAAAGCAGAAGAGAAGACAGGGGGCAGGTCCCAGTTGCCCTGGAGAGACGTGTACTCAGAAACCCCGGGCCGGCCTGGCCCCCTGGGCAGTGCTGGAGGAGGTAGGGGTGTGGTGAGCAGTTGGGGAAGGGAGCTCCCTCCCAACTCAGTCTTTGGCCCCTGCACTGGCTGGGCCGTACCCTTGTTCCTCCCGTGGGACACGGCAGAGCGGGCTGGGCACGGGCCAGTTTCCCATGGCCCATAAGGTGCCCCCCTCACCAGGGTGGGGCCTGCAGATCATGGTCCTCTCCATCTGCTCCCTCCGGCCTTCACCTTGTGGTAGAGCTAGAGGTGTTAACCCTGGCTACAGAGGACTCCAGAACGAATCCACTCTACCCTCCTCACACATGCCCCAGCAGGCCATTCAGCCAGGGTTTGGCTCCCTGACAGGCCAATTGTATCTGTCTTGCATCCCATTTAACCGTTGTTTGAAAGTTGAAAGTTCAATTTTTTTAGGCCATGTCCAAATATCCGCATGTCAGAAGGGGTAGCCATGCCCCAGGTGCTCTGTGCTCTTTCTGCAGGGGCAGCTGGGAACCCCTGCCCTGCTCCTCAGCCAGAGAAGAGGCCTGGCCCAGGGCCCTGCCAGCCTCTTGGATCAGCCCCTGGGCCCCTGTCCTGGAAGCCCAGGGTCAGTGAAGAATCCAGGGGTCCAGGGTCTGGAAATGGAAGACCAAGTGTTGCAGGTGAACATGGGGCTTCCCTGTCCCCTCAAGTGATCAGGAGCCCTGTGGGCAGGGGGTGCGCAGGGGACAGGTAGCTGCGGTGGCCCCCCACCTGCTTTCCCTTCTGCTCAGCTCCTTCCCGTGGGGCAGGCTGGTCGGAAGCCTGGGGGAGGGTTGTACCTAGCAGCCTTCATAGAGTCATAGGCAGGAAGGGTCTCCCCTCGAACTCTAGGTTGCTATTTCATTCAGTGTTTTCTCACAGAAATAGCTGTTTTTTTTCATAAAAGTACTTTCTAGAGGCGAGCCTTCCAGTGTAGATAACACCCAGATTCAAAGTCTGGGGTTTGAGGAGACTTTCCAGAGAGATGAGGAAACGGGCCCAGTAGTGTTGAGCGACCTGGCCAAGGGCGTCTGGAGAGGCGGGGTTCTGCATCACACCTGACCCCGAGCAAGCTCCTCCCTGTGCCTGTCAGAGGCGCGCGGAGGGAGCGCGTGGGGCTGGGTCTCCTGGCTCACTGTAGGGCCTGCGCCGAGACCCTCACCCCAGCACTTGGCTGGGGCTCCGTCGCTGGCTCGCCCCTTCCGCTGCTCTGCAGGCACAGCCGTTTTACTGAGAGCACTGAGCTGGCCGGAGGTTGCCAGGCCTTAGCTTAGATCCTTCCTGAAGAAGCTGACCAGGCAGCGTTCCAGCCCATCGGGGTGCCCACGGTGCTCCACAAGTCACTTCTTTCGTCTGTAACCTGGTGGTGCTGAAGAGGGGGCAGAGCTGGGCTGGGGTGCAGAGGACTGGGGGAAAGCAGGTCGGCCCCACCAGTCCGGGGTGGTAACCGGGCTTTCTTGTGAGGTTTGTCTGGAGTGGAGGCCAGTTCCAAGGGGCTTTACGGTGAAGGATTAGGTGATTCTTAAAAAAAGTAAGATCTAGGATCCTATGACTCTGACCTCAGAATAGGGAGGGTAGAGGTCAGGATGGATGTGCTGATGCGTCCCCTGCATCACTAGAAGCATCCCTGCCCCTGGCTGCTCTGGCCCTCTTGGGCCCCTCTCCCGGATGCTGTCCACGGCCTTGGCATCTTGCTGTCTGCTGAGCTTTCTCCAGACCCTGCCCACTGACGCAGTAGGGCAGCGTTAGGTGGTCTGGGATGCCATTTGCTCTGAAAAGTGGTCCTTCTCCTAGAAGGTGGGAAGGCCACTCACTGTCCTAGGAAAGCTTGAGACCCAGTCCGTGGCTTATCCTGTCCATGAATTTGGGGAGCAGCCAGGAGATGTGCCACCTTTGATGTCGTGAGCACTGGCATCCATATTCTCAAGCTTGAGTCACTTCTCTCCCATCTAAAGCGAGGCCTTAGTGGATGGGGAGGATGCTGAAGGAGTCCCCTGGGAGGAGAGAAAGGTTCGGACAGCCTGTGAACTCTCATCCCGTGTCCCTGCTTTGGTTGTAGCCGGGTCCCATAGGAAGTCACTTCCCAGAGGCCTGCCTGAGCCGCCCCCTGCAGCTACCATCCGTCCGGCTTTGCCGCAGGCGCCCCCCCAGCCGTGCCCCTGCGGAAGCTCTGTGCAGCCCGAGCTCCGCAGCCTTGGCGCCGCCCTCTCGGAGAAGCTGGATCGGCTCGCCGCAGCCCTGGCAGGCCTGTCTCAGGAAGTAGCCACCATGAGGACCCAGGTGGATCGGCTAGGGAGGCGCCCTCGGGGCCCTGGGCCAAAGTGCCAGGCTTCCTGGCCGTGGGCCCCCTCCCGGGGACCTCGCTGGGCCAATGGCCCTGCTCACAGACACCTCCCCTACTGGAGACAGAAGGGGCCCACCAGGCCGAAACCAAAGATCCTGCGTAGTCAGGCGGAAGGCGGCAGGGCTGGTGACGCCTCAGGCCTTTCCTGCCGAAGGTTCCGCCCCGTATCTCAGCTGCCTCCAGATGCCCCCACGGCAGAACCTTCTGGGCCCAACTCCAGCCCTTCCCAGCAGCCGCCCTCCTCAGCACGCAGCTGCCGCGCCGTGGTGCCTGTGCATGCCTGCCTTGGACACACTGGGGGTCACCGGAGTCCCCCGACCCCTTCAGTGCCTACTGCCTTACCCCCACAGATGGCTTCTGCGGCCAGGGTAGATGCAGAGCCGCAGTTTGCAGCCGTGGTGCCGCCTGGGGCCAGCAGCCAGCCCAAGGATCCAAACAGCCTGATGGCGGGGGGCCAGAGAGCCCTTGAGGAGCAGCTGTGGGGTGGGGACCATAGGGCGCCGAGGTGGGGGACCCCTAACCACCTTCTTCATCAGCTCAGTCCTGCTGAAGCTGTCCCGAGCCTGGCCACTTCTCCTAGGGGCTGTCCCGCGCCCTCACCCTGCTCCAGCCGAACCTTCCCCACTTCTGGGCTGTGAAGGGGCTGGGAGTTTTGCCATTGGCCTGAGCACCCCTGACTCCAGGACGCTGTTTGCTCAGGGAGGCCGCTGTTTGGGGTGCATTTCTCAGCCACGCCTCTGGTCTTCTTGGCTCAGGTTCATTCAGATGCTGCTTCCCCGTCTTGTCCTTCCCACTGGAACTGTCCACCTTGCAGGTGACTGGTGTGCCTGCACGCATGCGCACACCACGTTTGCCTGGGCACTCCAGCAGCTGCAGAGGGACCACGAGCACCCTGCTTCCTAGCATCTGCCCTTCCTGATCTCAGCACTGAGGAGGGCTTGGCCCTTGCTCTCCTGGTAAATCGGGGGCATGGGTTTCACTTGGAGGGAACCCTGCCCCTCGGCTGAAGCTGGATTTGCCCGTGTGGAGTCTGACAGGAGACCTGGGGTCTGAGGGAAAGGCCCTCGGCTCCTAGGAAGGGGCCCCGCAGGGCCGGACCAGGGCCGCTGTTGGTTCTCTTAGCAGGACGAGTACCTAGTTGGCTCAGCGGCCTGCCTCTCCGCACCCTCGAGAGAACTCCGCAGTGTCCTGGAAGGCTGGGAAGATCAGCTGCGGAACGGAATTCCCAGATGGGTCCTCGGAAGAGCCCCGCACATTATACTGTGAGCACAGACCACAGACCACAGACTGGGAAGCGTGAACAACACACACTCACTCTCACAGCCTGGAGGCCAGAGTCCGGGCTCAGGGTGGTAGCCGGCCTGGTTCCTACCAACACAGTGAGGGAGAGTCTGCCCCAGGGCTCCCTCCTGGCTTCTCACCTTCTCACCTTCTCACCTTCATGGCCACATAGCTTTCTCCCCGAACGCGTGCGTCCAGATTTCCCCTTTGTGTAGGGACAGCGTCGGACTGAGCCCGCCCCAGCGCCCTCACTGTGACTTGATCACCTCTTTAGAACCCTGTCTCCAAGTAAGGTCACGCGTTCTTAGGTACTGGGAGTTAGGACTTCAACATGGATTTCAAAACAACACGTGTAAGGGACTGGGTTGGTCTTCTTGAGTTCGTCGTGGAAGGAGAGGCATGACTAAAGTGTCTCCAGGCCAGAAGGGCCTGCTCTGGGCCCCACCCCACTCGGTCGTATATTGGGAGTCCTGCCTGTGGCTTACCTGCCTCATGTCCTTCCCAGGCTCAGAGCTTTTCCCCCAGCCTTATGTTCCCACTTTCCATCCTTACTGGATGTGAAGAATCTTCGGGAACTGTGTGCACGTTGCCCGGGAGGGGCCACCGGGCCGGGCTGGTGTGGTCAGCTCGGCAGTCAGGGAGCCCAGGTGCCAGGGCTGAGGCCCAGGCCGACTCGGGGCCCAAAAGGGGCTGTAGGCTTGCGGCTGTCATGCCTGCTCCAGGTCCTGGGACACAGGCAGGGCCTGGACTGCGCTCCTGGCTGCCCCTCTGGAGGGAAGGGGGAGGGGCTGGGCTGCCCGCCGGTCACAGTGGGGTGGTTGCCCTGTGTTCAGGACTAAGTCCCAAGAGGACTGTCTCGGAAGCTAATGTCTAGAAGATCATGTCATTGAATGTTTAAAAGAGGCAGTGTCTTCACATGTAGCCATACTTGATAAGAGCAAAAGGAACAAAAAACTTCCAGACTTTCCCCTCAAAGACCCCAGGAAGCTTTTCGGGCTTCAGTGAGTGAGGGCTGGGCACGTTTCGGAGCCCACGGAGAGGGGAGGACAGGGCTGGGGGAAGGGGCGGGGGTGCTGTCAGTAGGAGGAGGGTTGTGGGTGCCCCTGCTCAGCCCTCCCTCAGTCCTGCCCATTGGCCTCCTGTGCCCTTTCCCCCTAGTCAGCAGCGGTCGTGGAGGTGGTCAACACCTACTTTGAATGGCATTTTAAGGTTTTGTTTGGTGGACTTCATGAATATCAGGCATCACACAGACCCTTAGCAGCAGGAGTGAAGGAGCAAATGAGCTCAGAGGGCAGAGGTGACCTTGAATTTGCAGAGCTTGTCCTTGGCGGAGCCTGCAGAAGCACTGCACCCCTGTCGGTGCTTGGCAGCCGGGCACGTGCCCTCACCCGCTGGGTGACCCTCCTTCCAGCCTTCCCCTGCGCTGCAGACAAGGATGCTCGGGGCGAGCCCAGTCTTGGTGGTCCAGATCCAATCCGGCCATATAGGAAGCTCAAGTCTTTTTTTTCCTTTTTTTTTTTTTGAGAATGTGGAAAACAAATAATAAAATGAATGGTAAGAAGCTTCCTGATCTGCGTGTTCGCCTCACAGGTCCACTGCCGCATGAGCACAAAAAGCTTTCATGGTTGTTAACTGGAAAATCTAGAATCACTAATTTGGTGGAAAATCTGTATGCAGTTTAGTCGGTGTGCATCTCCTTCACCTACATCACAAGGAAATGTGGTCTTTGGTGAGATGAACAGAGGGGCCTTTTTGAACTCAGGAATTCCAGGGGCCTGGGGGGCGGGCAGGGGGAGAGCAGAGAAGGCTGAAGCTCTGCCTGCCCCCATTGTGCGGAATCTTCAGCGAATGGCTGCGGACTGACCAGGGTACAAACCTCCCCCACCCTGAGCTCATTTCGGGGGCCCTTGAAGTCTGCCCTCTGCCTTCCAGCCTGTAAAGCAGGAAAGTGAGAAGGGGCTTAACCTGTCAGTCTGAGCGGGCTCCCCACAGCCTCCAGGCCGGTGGAGGGGTCCAGTGGGAGGGGGGCTGCCAGAGGGGTGGGAGGGTGCACAGACCACAGTTGGCTGCCTGATGCATGCCCTGATGTAACCACTCCCTCCCGGAGGAGCTTGACACACTGGCAGACTGACTTGACTCCACTTTTTTGGGTCTTTCTGTTTCAGATGTGGCTTCTGGAAAGAGCCTACAGTGGGACTTTATTTTTTAATCCAGCTGGACAAGTTCTGTTCTTTATTTAGAGCCCTTAATCCATTTATGTGTAATTATAGATTTAGATTTGAGTATACAGTCTTATTTTATGCTTATGTTTGTCTCACTTATTCTGGGTTTTTTCCCTTCGTTCCTGCCTTCTTTTTATTTTATTTTTTTTAAGGTTTTACTTGTTTATTTGCGAGAGACAGAGTGAGCAAGGGAGGAGCAGAGGGACGAGCAGACTCCCCGCTGAGCACAGAGCCCGACCTGGGGCTCTATCCCGTGACCCCAAGATCATGACCAGAGCCAAAATCGAATCATGCTTAACTGACTGAGCCACCCAGGCGCCCCTCCTGCTTTCTTTTTAATTGACAGTGTTGTGGATTTTGTCTGTTTGGTCATTTCGTCTTCCCTCTACTAGCTTCAACATTTATTTTTTTAAGATTTTATTTATTTATCTGACAGAGAGAGACACAGAGGGAACACAAGCAGGGGGAGTAGCAGAGGGAGAAGCAGGCTTCCAGCAGATCAGGGAGCCCGATGCGGGGCTCCGTCCCAGGACCCTGGGATCGTGACCTGAGCCGAAGCCCGATGCTTAACGACAGCCACCCAGGCGTCCCTAGCCGCAACATTTAAAGAACTAGGAGGAAAAACATCCAAATTTACAATCATGTTTGGAAGTTTTTAGTACATCTTTTTTAGAAATTGATAGAACAAAGCAGGAAAGATACAGATTTGAACAAGCCAACTAACATATGGAACACTGAACCATGGGACTACAGGAGGCCATCCTGTTGTGTTTCCAGCTCCTGCGGCTGCCTTGCTGGGGGGTGGTGTGGGGCAGGTCCTCCAGTGACACACCCCCCCCCAGAAGGCACAGAACCAAGTCCTAGGCAGTGGGCTGGCATCCAGAGCCTTCCATGAGTGGCCACGTCAGCGGGACTTCTGTCGGAGCTGGGCTGGGCTTCTCACCGTTGCCTGCGCGAGCTGAGGCCGCTCAGGTGCCTTGCTGCTCCCCACCATCAGTACCCTTCGTCCATGGTCACGTTTTGTTTGACTAAGTCTACTTTATTAGCAAAGTCCAAAGTGGGTGCCTCCACCGAGATTCCTGCACTGGGAAGGAATAGTCACAACAGTGACGCTCGGCTCGTACTCTGTAAGCGCTCCCCTCTGTCCAGGAATGGTGCTCAGGGCTTGCAAGGTATTTAATCCTCAGAGCAATCTTAAAAGGTAAAGTTTGTTATCCCCGTTTTACGGGTTCAAGCACAGAGCTTCAGGGGTGCTTAGCTCAGTAGCTTGTCCTAAATCACAAATCTCAGAGAGAGTGGGGGCCTGACTCCGCCTGTTATTGGGGGCTGCTCTCTGCTGCCCCCTTCTGTTAGTGCAGCCTCAGCGTTTCCACATGACCCTGTCGTTTCACATTATAATTCTATCGTTGAACAATATTCCAGGCAACTGAGGCCCGTCAGTTATTTAGACATCTTTCTACTGTTTGCCTTGCAGTGAACAGCTTTGTGCTCGTGGCTTTTTTTTTCCTGTTTTCAAGTCTCCAGAAATAGGATCACTGAATATGTGCATTTTAGGGATCTGGACAGGGAAAGTCTATTGTTTCTAAACACATAATTTCTTTGACATTCACAGTAGCTAGCTGTATCAGTTTTACAAATATATATCGTGGAGTGGAAGTGATATTTTTCACTTTAATTTCAACCCTGCAGAAAATGTGAAAGAATGGTACAATTAACATCCATATACACTTCATCCAGAATTCACCAGATGTTAATATTTAGCCACAGTCGCATTATCTGGGTCTCTCTCTGTGTCTCTCTGTCTCTCTCTCTCTCTTTCCCTTTCTCTTTCCATATATATGTAGGTTTTTTTTCTTTCTTTGCTGAACCATTTGTAGGTATATTTCAGACATTAGGGTATTTAACTACAAAATATTTCATCATATATCTTAAGAGGAAAAATCTCCTATATAATCATACTATTACTAACACCCCGCAAAAAATTGAACATTGATATAATAACATCACTGCACAGGGGCACCTGGGTGGCTCAGTTGGTTAAGCATCTGACTCTTGATTTCAGCTCAGGTCCTGATCGTGAGATTGAGCCCCACGTCAGGCTCCATGCTCAGTGTAGAGTCCGCTTGAGATTTTCT